CTAAAACTTTGAGACTGTTTGTTTGTTTGTTTGCTTATTTTCTCAGTCAAAAAAATCATTCACACTACCGTTCGCGCTCTTTACGAAACTTCTTACTTCACTTTTTTTGAAAAATGAAATGGTCTTTCCTTTTACTCTCGATCAGCAATCAAATATATTTTCTTGAATTATGAATAACACGAATGGATTGAAATATTTAATTAAATTATCTCAAAATAAACCTTCATTTCTGTGCAATATTGAAATTAGCTTGAATTCTTCATAACCTCTGAATAGTGGTTGACCCCACAGGTCACGGTTGTCTAGTTATACCTTAAATTCGGGCCTCATCTTCAGGTCGACATTTCTTATATGCCTAGAATTAAATAAAATAAATTAACTTTATAAATAAGAAAAACATAAATTCTTCGACAAAAAACTCAGTTTTATAAAAAAATATACAGTCACTCTGTGAATTTGGTAGTAAAAACGACAGTCTATCCTTCTTCATAGTCACTGCTATTATATAAATTTCCAACTATGGTTACATTCGTTTTTATAAAGAAATCTTTCACAACTTTAGTCTCAAATCTTGTGAATCAACACTTAAAGAAAATATAGGTTACGTGTAACGTTATATTTCAAGTAGGATAGTTTGTTCAGTTGGATACATTTTACTGACGTACGAGTAAAGACAGTAAAATAATTACCACCTAAGACCGTTCTAGCCTTTACGTAAACAGAAAAGCAGGAGTTTTTTTAATTCAGAGATTGCTGCTGAAAACAACAACTGTACACAGGTCCCCCCCACACACACCCCCTGTGTGGTGTAGCTTTGGTTTCAAAAGCGAAAGGGGAGGAGCAATTTTTCTAGTTAAGGTTAAGGCATTTCCCCCCCCCCCACCACACACACGCCGTGTAAATTACGTTTGTGTACACACGTATTTCAAACCAAATAACTCTGCGCGCGAATCAAACTTTACCGCTAGCGTTTTTCATTTAACCATGACATTACTGACCTTGATGTTGACATCCATAGGGTTTTTATATTTAACCATGACATAGTAATCACTACCATCTACATATTGTTGTAGCTAAACAATATCAAGTGTGATTATTGTAATCACTAACATCTACATATTGTTGTAGTGGGACAATATCAAGTGTGATTATTGTAATCACCACCATCTACATATTGTTGTAGTTAAACAATATCAAGTGTGCTTATTGTAATCACTACCATCTACATATTATTGTAGTTAAACAATATCAAGTGTGATTATAGTAATCACTACCATCTACATATTGTTGTAGTTAAATAATATCAAGTGGGATTATTGTAATCACCACCATCTACATATTGTTGTAGTTAAACAATATCAAGTGTGATTATAGTAATCACTACCATCTACATATTGTTGTAGTTAAACAATATCAAGTGTGATTATTGTAATCACTACCATCTACATATTGTTGTAGTGAAACAATATCAAGTGTGATTATTGTAATACTACCATCTATATAGTTTTGTAGTGAAACAGTATCAATGTCTTAACGTTGTTACAAGTGAGCTTTATCTGTCCCTAGATGCCTTATCGTTGTTGCTACAAGTGAGCTTTATCTGTCCCTAGATGCCTTATCGTTGTTGCTACAAGTGAGCTTTATCTGTCCCTAGATGCCTTATCGTTGTTGCTACAAGTGAGCTTTAACTGTCCCTAGATGCCTTATCGTTGTTGCTACAAGTGAGCTTTAACTGTCCCTAGATGTCTTATCGTTGTTGCTACAAGTGAGCTTTAACTGTCCCTAGATGCCTTAACGTTGTTGCTACAAGTGAGCTTTATCTGTCCCTAGATGCCTTATCGTTTTTGCTACAAGTGAGCTTTAACTGTCCCTAGATGCCTTAACGTTATTGCTACAAGTGAGCTTTATCTGTCCCTAGATGCCTTATCGTTGTTGCTACAAGTGAGCTTTAACTGTCCCTAGATGCCTTATCGTTGTTGCTACAAGTGAGCTTTAACTGTCCCTAGATGCCTTATCGTTGTTGCTACAAGTGAGCTTTAACTGTCCCTAGATGTCTTAACGCTGCTACAAATTATTTGTGAATTTTAATTGCCACTGCCCCAGGTATGAGAAGTATCCACTTTGAGGCAATTAAAAGTGGTATATCAAAATACGTTTCTTAAAAATCATGACAAAAATAAAAATAACTTAATAAATAAATATTTTCTCTCTCATTAGAATACTTCGGGCATTGTGAAATATCGTTACCCAGTTCGTTATCATCTTTCGAAGTAATAAAATTTGGTCATTATCTTTAATGAACTATGGTCATTAGTACGTATATCTCTGATTAGTTCTGAGCAACGTAGGTAGCTTTCTCTGATCAGAAGTTAATATTAATTATTTTGTAAGATTGAAAGTAACCACCGTATGTCGTTTACAACGGTCTTGCAATCGACAAAAACAACAATAACATTACTATACATTGTTTAGAGGTACACATCCTAAAACTTAATTGTACTTCGCTAATATCTCTACTAAGCAATAGTGTGTAATAATAGTTGTAAGTATTTTGAGTTGTAACTCAATGAAAGGAGGAGTTTGTTTGTTCACAGGAAGCGGGAAGGAAGGAAGAGGCACCAGAAAGTGTCAGAAATCCTGTTTCAGTAATTTAGTGACTCGTTAGGTGATATTCCTAGTTCCATCTAGTCACTTAAGGATTTCTTGCAACAGATATCATGTGGGTATTAATTGAGGGGCTGAAGTTCCCCGTTTTAATGGGGTGTATAATCTCTTTCTTTGCATTTATGGCGGACATTTTTGTGGTGACTGATTACTGGACAGTTCGACTGCTAACAGCGTTTATTGTGTGTAACATCGTATTCTATGTAGGAAAACTCGTGACAGCAACTGTAATCGTGAAGAACTTGATCGACTGTTTAGATGTCAACATCAAGGTCAGTAATGTCATGGTTAAATATCAAAACCCTATGGATGTCAATATCAAGGTCAGTAATGTCATGGTTAAATATAAAAACCCTATGGATGTCAATATCTAGGTCAGTAATGTCATGGTTAAATATAAAACCCTATGGATGTCAATATCAAGGTCAGTAATGTCATGGTTAAATATAAAAACCCTATGGATGTCAACATCAAGGTTAGTAATGTCATGGTTAAATATAAAAACCCCATGGATGTCAATATCAAGATCAGTAATGTCATGGTTAAATATCAAAACCCTATGGATGTCAATATCAAGATCAGTAATGTCATGGTTAAATATAAAAACCCTATGGATGTCTATATCAAGGTTAGTAATGTCATGGTTAGATATAAAAACCCTATAGATGTCAATACCAAGGTCAGTAATGTCATGGTTAAATATAAAAACCCTATGGATGTCAATACCAAGATCAGTAATGTCATGGTTAAATATAAAAACCCTATAGATGTCAACATCAAGGTCAGTAATGTCATGGTTAAATATAAAAACCCTATAGGTGTCAACATCAAGGTCAGTAATGTCATGGTTAAATATAAAAACCCTATGGATGTCAATATCTAGATCAGTAATGTCATGGTTAAATATAAAAACCCTATGGATGTCAATATCAAGATCAGTAATGTCATGGTTAAATATAAAAACCCTATGGATGTCAATATCAAGGTCAGTAATGTCATGGCTAAATATAAAAACCCTATAGATGTCAATATCAAGGTCAGTAATGTCATGGTTAAATATAAAAACCCTATGGATGTCAATATCAAGGTCAGTAATGTCATGGTTAAATATAAAAACCCTATGGATGTCAATATCAAGATCAGTAATGTCATGGTTAAATATAAAAACCCTATGGATGTCAACATCAAGGTCGGTAATGTCATGGTTAAATATAAAAACCCTATGGATGTCAACATCAAGGTCAGTAATGTCATGGTTAAATATAAAAACCCTATGGATGTCAACATCAAGGTCAGTAAAATATCAAGTGTGATTAGTCCCACTACAACAATATGTAGGTGGTAGTGATTTCAATAATCACACTTCATATTGTTTAACTACAACAATATGTAGATGGTAGTGATTACAATAATCACACTTGATATTGTCCCACTACAACAATATGTAGATGTTAGTGATTACAATAATCACACTTGATATTGTCCCACTACAACAATATGTAGATGTTAGTGAT